TATGTTTCTTTTCTGTAGATGAACTTTTCAACTGTTCCATCGTTTCTTCTTTTTATATTTAGGTTCAGGAAATTGAACTCGTCGTTTTATTCATATTCCATGGTGAATTTAATATTTGGGTGGATCTCATTAGGGCTGTCAAATAATACGGATGCCTGATTCGTGTCGTTACAAACAAAAGACGCATCATCGATGCATCGACGATAGTATGCTGTTTCATTGATAGCGTCACTCAGTCGCGTCTGTTCGAGATAACCCATGAATGTGTCGGCTAGAATAGGTCCTCGAGGTGAACCCATGGAGACCCCGTGAATTCATCAGTATAACTGGTTGTTGAATTTGAATTGGATGTCTTTTGAGCAAAGAATCAGTTGGCGCTTTGCACAAAAGACATCCAATTGTAATACTTATATTCCGGATGCGTTCATCTTGTAATGTTTCCTCTATTACCTTTCAAACATTGAGGTATGAAATGTTATTATTTATAACCATAGTGATTTAAGGTAGTTTGCAGCCGATGAGAACCTGTGAAATAGAATGATATCATTATATACTGCAAATCTGATCTTTCTTTCTCTGTCTTATTTTTATTAGATTCGTAATTTTGAACGTGGTGCGAATCCAAGTGTTGTTAAGTTTTCTTCGAATTGACTCTCATGTAACAGTTTTGTATGGTACTGTGAATGTTTTATTTGGCTAACTCCTTCTTGTTATTCTCCGGTTTTAACCTTGTTTCTTTTTTGTTTGTGTTATTTTTTTTCATCAGAGCAACCAGACTATGCGAGCGAAGAATGTGAATGAAAGGATTAAGTTTTAACCTCATTAAAGGTCTAGGGAGTTAAGATAAAATAGAGTATAATAGTAATTAGATAAAAGGATTATCGTGAATTGTATAAGTGACATTTCAGAGAGATTTGACATGAAATACTGGAACCTGTAAGATAAGCTAACCTATAGATGAGGTTCTTAAACGGTAGGCTGAATTGGCGAATTGGCACCGGTTTATTGAGTTTCATTTGTTCCTGTAAGTTCTATCAGAACTACTCAATGCATGCCTGACATCTGTTCACCACAGGTAAGCTTAGGACTTATTGATTGTTTCTTCTTGTTTCATCTCCAGAGCTAATACATGAGGACTCCTCAGTGTTTAAAGTGTCTGGGGTAAACTTCTTGACAATATCCCATGTTTTTTCTCAGTTTATGCATTATTCTCTTTTTCGTTCCTTGTGGAACCGATTACAGATTCAGATTTGTTGACTGAGGACAGAAGGCTTAGAGCCTATATTAATCATTTTCTAGTAAATGTCTGTGGTTGTCCGAACCCTTCTTGAATGAATCAGTTGAGGTTGCAGACACCACTCTTTCTAAGAGTTGGTTCCAGGAGTTTGTGATTCGGTGTGAGAACCAGTATTCTACAGCAGAATGGCTTGTCCTTGGCTTCTGAACTCTCCTGGTATGTCCTCTAAGGTGTTTCGACCTGGTGGGAAGGAAAAGAGGGAATAGATCAGGTCCGTAGTCATTATTTAAAATTTTAAACATTGTAATTAAATCTCCTCTCTGCCTACGGTATGATAGGGAGAATAGATTTGACATGTGAATTACTTTTAAGACAAGAACTGGCTACCTGGATACAATTTTCCGCTCTTGGCCTCACCAGAGATGTATATAAGGAGATGAACATATCTCTGGGCTCTGGGAATTGCCCATAAGGACATGAAACTACGTGCAGCCAACGCGTGATGTGTGCCGTAGTTTTTAATTCGTGACTTGCCGCAACATCTAAATCCAAATGAGTGTGAACTGATGGAAGTGTTATTTCCTCTAGTTCATAGGGGCTGATGCTTGCGCTTCCAGTGCGCATGGCAGCACATTTGGCTACATTGATTGAGAGCATCTATTCTCTGAACTACTAAGCAATTTGTTGAGGTCTTCTCGCTATATGGGTTTAACACTGTCACTCTTCAGCTCTCTCCAGACTTTTAAGTCATCGGCGTATAGGACTATGGGGGAATCGGTGAGCAGAGATAACTTATTGATAAACAAAATAAATAGGAAAGGTCCAAGTACCTCCGCTACGCACCATCGTCCTGGCGGAGATTTTTGAGTTGATCTCTACCCTCTGCTTCCTATCTACGAGGATTCCTTGATCCATCCTAGGAAGTATCCTTTGACACCAGGACTTTCCAACTTCGTGGAAAGTCTTTTGTGGGGAACTTTGTCGAAGGCTTTGCTGAAGTGTGTAAAGACGACGTCAACGGGTCTTCTGTTGTCCCTTGACTGGATTCAAGTTCCTCGTGCAGTAAGAAGATTCGACAAGCATGTGGGCTTTCCTCGGAAGCCATGATGTGCTCTGGATAATAAGTTGTTGTTTTCCACATATGGCACGGATACTTTTCTTAATGATTCTTTCCAGTGTCTAGATTAAAGTGCTGGTGTTCATATGATTATGAGCAATAGTTTGTGCTCGAAACGTCATAAGTTAATATTACTGTGGAACACTGTGTGATTTATCAAAATAAAATCTGATCCATAATGGAGTGTAGTTTGAGGGGTTTTGTCTTGATCCTCCTCTGCGGATGGAGGTTACTATGACGTCTTTCTAGTCAAGCGGTAAAACTCCATTTAGGAGAGATAGCTTGAAGATCGCGGTCAGAGGGCAGTTATGTAAGCTGATAACCCCTTGAGAAGTCTTGAATGGAGATTTTCAGGACCCATTGATTTTTCTTCATCTAGTTTCTTTAAGCAGTCAGGTGCGATTTCTTGGTCAATGTCAACGAAGTTTATCCTCTAATGCAGCCAAAGCTGATCCTATGGGGAGCGATGACTCCAGTGCAAAGGCCTGGGAGAAGCAGTCTGCCGTTGCTTCTGCTTTTTCGTAATCTTCTACGATTGTTTCACTGTCAACAGTCAGGTTTGGGACCCCGTTGGAAGTTTTATTCCCAGTAATTTATCTACGAGGAAGGTTGTTAGGATGTGTATTTGCATTTTGAGCCAGATTTGCTCTGTAGTTCATCCTTGATTGGCTGATTTCTGCGATAGCTTTGTTCCTAGTGATGCTGTATAATTATCTGCTATCAGGAGTCTCAAGTGTGGAAAACAGATTCCGTCACTGAAGTTTACGCCTGAGTAATATATGGAACTCTCGGTTTGTCCAAGGAGAGCAATGTTTCCGACTCTTCGGGATAGACCAAGGGATGAAAAGCTCAGTTACCTGTGCGTAAAATTGTTTAAACTGGTTCCAATAGGCTTCTACCTGGGCCCCTGGGTTAATGTACTAGTTCACTAAGTTGGCTGCTGGGACGATCGCATGTATATCATCTTTCGAAAATTTGATCGAGCTGGGGTTTCGCCAATGATACTGCTGCTCTGAACTTGAATGTGAGCTCAGCATGATTACTTCTTCCTAAAGGAGGAAAACGTTGCGTGAGTTCCACATCCTTTCCATAGGAAAACGCTGGCTTCAGAGTTCAATGGGAGTGCTCTGAGTCACAGTACCTGGGCCTCATGACATGTTGAAGTAAGGCTAACGAAATGCTAGATTCCAGAGGTTTATGATCAAATGAGTTGTCTGAAGATGGTGTTGTAAGGCTTGTCCAGTCACCTTTTGGGGCGTTGAAGTCACCAACTACAAGACTTCGACTTCAGGACCATAGCTTCTCTACCAGGAAAACGTCTGCACTGCAGGCAGGACTGCTGTATATAGCAATGATGTCAATATCCTTGCCTATGCATTTAAGTGTGAGCGCTGAAGTTCGCACGATTCACTTTCGTGTGCCAGAGCTTCCATGCTAAGCATGGTTAAGCATTCTTTGAGGTTAATGAATACGCCACCTACTTTTTGGTTGAGTCGGTCCACCCTGTGCAGTACGAAGCTTGATAGGTTAACTTCGTTAACAGTGACATTGGATGTGAGCCATGTCTCTGTGATGATAATTACATCCGGATTTCCGGAGTCTGTCACATTACCCAACTCAGTCCGTATGTTCGACGGGCTGTGGGCATTTGTGCAGCAAACTGTCAACTCAGTTTTCGTGCTTTTACGGCCTACCCACAGATGTTTCGAGATCATCAAATTTTGAACGACGACAACCCGAAAACCTCTAATCCCAAGGTATTTCCCCCCATTTCGGCACCGTTCGCACAATTATAGAGCCTCAGACAGTCTTTCAATGCTGTTTGTTAGGCACAAGCTGGCACGGGAGTATATACCTGATCCTTTTAAGGTTTAGGGGTTGCTTAGCATGGTATTTCTCTCAGTTTTTATGTTCAGTACGACTTTGAGAAGGCTGATTTACTGTAGATTCAGCCTTTGGCTGTGTGTGGTAACACCGGCTACTGGTGTTCGCAGCAGATTACCTAGGAGAAGCTTGACCAAGTTAAGGTCATGATCAAACCTGATCTTGAGTTCGGAAGCCTATAATTCTTCCACCTCTTGGAGGTTGAGGGACCTGTTGGAGAGATTAGGTCTGCTTTCCTTGGATTTCTTGCTCTGCTGCGTATGGGTGTTTCCATCCTTCTTAGACAGCTTGGCCTCTTTGTTATCCTCATCTTGCTTTTTGCAGGAGACTACTTTGTGTCATTCGTTGGCGCCCTTCTCGGTATCTTTGGTCGGTTGTGTCTGCCTGCTATCCACTGGCGTGGGTGAGGCTTGATCTACAAGTCCTTTGATGACTTGAGATGCGGGTTTTCGACTCCTAATACGTCTCCTTTTTGGTGCTAGCCTTTTTATTTCTGGCGCTGAATGGCTTATCGGGTATAGAAGGGACAGCCTAGGTGTCCTGATAGTGGCGAACACTCTTCTCTGGGGAAGGGAAATCATCGTTAGAATATCCTTTTAAATCTCAGTAGTTTCAACCTATTAGAATGAGTATGGTGTTACGTTTTCCATGCACAATTTTAACAGTTAGTATTTTTAATGGGGAGAGATATTCTGATTCTTGGACAAGATTTGCATTGAATTAGGTGGCAAATTAAAATTCTCTGAAGGTCGAACAACCGCGCCTGTTTTGAGCCCGTTGTGCTGTTGTACATTTTCGTAGCAATGAAAGAATGTATTCGTCGTATGGCGAAGCTTGACTGCATGAGTTTATCATGTGTCGCATTTGTCTTCAATCTTTGTCTGCTATCCATGTTCCTTATACATATTAAACTCAATATTATGAAAAATAATAACCATTATAATATCATTCAATAGTAAATTGAACTCATTGCAGGCACTAGAAAGATTTTTAGAGGTTTTAATGTTGATTATTTTAAAGGGCTTAATTTGAGATCACTCATATTTACTGAGTTTGTTCCCTGCAAACACCAAAGGGCACTGAATCTAAGATGTCGCTTGTCATGACTTATGGCGGCTAATGTAACTGAATAAACTGAAGAGTATGCAGGGGATATTTACATAAGCCATAGATTGCGAAAATGCACAAAGTCGTTTCATTCCATGGTCCTTGCTTCATCACGAAAAAACATTTCCACATTCCCTGACATTATATCTGCATAATTGTAGACTTGGGATACAAGGGAGAAAGGTCATCAGAAATTATAAATCAGCGCAATATCGAGAGCAAGAGGATAAAATAGGAAGTATTCCAATTAATTACTTCCATTTCTGAATTTTGCCAAGTTCTTGCGATGACTCAATAAGATTCACCTAATCTGGTGAGTCGAAACCAGTAATTATTGTTAGAGGTTTCTTTGTACAGACAAGCCTATCAGTTATGTGTTCTTTGCTTTAACGGAATTTTTGCGTTGTGTTAGTCTGGTATTTCATTTTCAGAAGTGAATCTCATTTGAAAATGTTTCGACGCTTTTTAATTTGATATGGGTGTAACGCTTTTAAGACTGAAAGCACGACTTCGAGGATGTGTGATTATAATTGTTATTATTATGAAAAATACATTTTGTTCGAAATGTCATCCAGTAAATAATACTGTTTCACTGTGTGATAAATCTAATAAACAAACTAATATGAAATTACTTACTACCACAGTTCCCAAGTTTTACACTGCTGCTGCTGGATTCAACATAGAACTTGGCACCGGAGTGCACCAGTTCGAGTTGCCACGTTCCAAATAGCACATAAAGGTAGACAAGAAAATGAGTGAAGAGAATCAATAGAGTTTTGACGAGTATAAGAGTGAAACAGAATGAGTAATGGTAGAAAGGAATATGAAAGATTACAGAGACTGAATACATCTGCGCCATTGACAACGATTTTGAGCCATGTCGCCTATTGTCTCCAGCCATTGATTCTTAGAGTCCCGAGGGCGGGCACCAACCCGGAAGTCTGCATCTCCCTACCTGACTCAGTTTAACTGTCAAGGATTTCATGTATTGATGCCATGTTTTTGTTTGGCCACCACTTACTCTTTTCCAACCTGCACCTATATCAGCTAGTAATGCCCGTAAGTCGGGGGAGGCGATGGTTAGGCATGCGCAGCAGGTGACCTAGCCATCTCAATCTATGTAACTTTATGGCCTCTTCGAGTGATTTTCCCTCTTTGCCCAACACTCTACGCCTAACGTCAACATTACTTACTTTATTATAACACATAACGCGAGAAAGAGATCGTAAACATCTGTGGTCAAAAACAGACAATCTTTTCATGTCTTCCGCTCTCAATGGCCACGTCTCACCGCCATAGAGAAGGACGGAGCGAACTGCTGAGCAGTATACACGTCCCTTGGTTGACAGCCGGATGTCACGCCTACGCCAGAGACAGTGTAAGTTAGCGAAAGCAGCCCGAGCTTTCTGGATCCGTCCTGTGATTTCGTCACCAATCAATCCGTTGGTGCTGATACAACTTCCAAAGTAGGTGAAGTGGTCAACATGTTCTATCACTTCACTCCCTATCACTAAGCTAGGAGTTGACGTAGTCCAGTCCTGTAGCAGCATCTTGCATTTCACAGGGGCGAATCGCATGCCAAACATACGAAAATTGCTGCTCAAGGTGTTCAGAAGACTCTGCATTTTGTCAGCGTCCTCCCCTAACAGGACTATGTCGTCTGCGTATTCTAAGTCTATAAGACTATTCCCTGGTAACAAGTCGATTCCTAAGTCGTTAAGTTCAGTTAAGGATACTTCAGGTGTCTGACACTTTGCCATGTTGATGCACATTGAATTTTTGAAATCAACTTTTATCTCTTTCATGTTTCGTTATCCTCCGGTATACTATGATCAGAAATTGTACAATATCAAGAAAAATAAGGCAATTTAAAGCAATCATTAAAAACTGCATTCCATGAATACGAATTCTTCTCATGAGAAATGAAATGTGCGTCTTAAACAACTTATGATTATCTCGCTAACTTTCAAAATACTTTATGCCGGCGTTTTTATCTGTACTTTATTCCCTTTAGGACCCAACGTTCAGACGGTAGATAGTGGATTGTAATCTTGGGTAACTGGGTAACATCGGATGTTAGACTATAAGCTTGGTGTGTAGCCTGAAACATAAAAATATCTGTTCCAAGTAGTTGATTTCTAACTAATCTATGAAACTGTAATTGACACGTTACATTAGACTATCCGGCTACTCGTCTTGATTGATCTGTACTTAATAATATACACAATTCTGTGTTCATGCATTGCAGATTTCAATTTTAGCGTTGCTTCTATTTTTAGAACACTCAAGTGCCTTCCCAGTAAATTCCTACCGTCAAAGTAAATATTTTGGAGAATTATGGTCAGTTTACGAGCTTTCGTCGTCGGATGCACTGGGGAGACAGGCAAGGCATTGATAAAAGCACTGGCCAAAGATTCTAGATACAGCTCTGTCAAACTAATACAAAGACGTAAAACTGAAGTTGATTATGGAACTGAGGCTACAGAAGTTGAAAATCGTTTCACTCAGATTGTTATAGATTTCGAACATCTGGATGACTACAAGGAAGTGTTTCAAGGTACTGACATTGGATTCTGTGCACTTGGAACAACATTTAAAAAATCAGGAAAAGAGAAGATGAGAGTAATTGATCATGACTATGTGATACGTATTGCCGAATTAAGTTCTGCTGCTGGTTGTAAAGAATTTCATCTTGTCACTTCTAAAGTAAGTCATAAAAACTTTTAAATTCTGTTAACTTTCAGTGAGATTTTGAAACACCTAAACCTTTTTCGTTATATTGATTGATTTCAATTAGAAGGGTTGCGAATGTGTATAATACTTCCAAATTTCTGCGGCTTAATTTAAAATATTTTCATTCAGTACATTGAAAACACTCGCCATGCTACTTGAATCTGTTTTAATCAATAATCATATTTACTATTAAGGAAGGGTTAAAGTGACAAATATCGAAGTAGCGGTATAAAGTCTAATAATAGTCGTATTGTTTTAGTCCACTGTATGAAGACGAAGAAAGCTAGAAAACTAAGTATTTTTCCGAACAAATGGTCACACTACTTTTTGAGCTTAGGTTATTTAATACATCATCAATGGGTGAACCTTAAAAAATTATAATATCAGGTGAGAAATATGAGTAATTGGATAAAACAACTGATATTTTAAACTGAGATATCTGTGTACCGTCATGCTGATGCCCAACATCGACTTGTCTTAAATCCTATTGATAAATAAAACGTAGTTTCGATAAACTTGTATAGTCTAAATAAAGATATAAAATGCATGTAGGTTGATAGTTTTATGTATGAGCTCATAAGTTACGGGAACAGTTTCTTCAAAGTATAGTATTCACTGGCTACGGATAATCTACACGAGCCTTATCAAACTATTATAGATAGTGATTAAGGGTAAAGAACTTGTAATTATTTAGAGTTTTCGGCCTTTGTTTTCTTCATAATGTTATTGACACTTGATGATATTCAGTATTGGTACTAATGGATTTGAGGTGTTTTAATATGAACTAAGCTGACAATATGGGATTTGGTGTGAAATGTGTTTTAATTTAGAACAGTAGGATGGTGATGACTAAATTCAGTCGATTTGTCAAGCGGACAAGTGAAGTCAGAAAGTTATGTAAGTGGATTGATATGACTATGAGCAATAAATCGTACACATAAGTTATCAGTGATTCAATCGTACTATATCAGCGTGCCGTGTCAAATGGGTTATTCAATCATGGAATTATATTGTGCCATATTGTTTAACTTTCATTTGTATATTGGTGAAACTAATATATAGCTTTGAGGCACAGATAGTTGTTGGCCTAGACAGCAGGTTGGTAACACCATCAGTGACACTGGTCGCCTGCCCGAAAGATTACGGGATTAATCCATACATATATCCTAATAAAATTTTGAGTTTTTGACTGGAGTACCTAGCTTGTCATTTGCTTTGATGATGTTCTCGTGACTAATGTTGTTAGATCTGCCAAGGGCGATGAGATAGTACGCTACCTAATAGCTGTGTACAAGGCTTGAAGAAGGCTGTGTGCTATATACATGTGACTCACCATGACAGTGTTTACCCCCTTTTGCGCCTGTTAAAGCGATCCTGTTCGGTTTGCCATTCATGTGTTTGCTGCCCCGCATGCACCTGACTTCGTGCTGGACCGCATGTACGCTGGCATAATAGACTTGTGCCCGAGTTGTAGCTTCGAACCTTTAGTTCTACGTATCTGGATAACCGATGTGTAGGATTATTGGAGTACAAATTTGAGCTGTGGATCACTCGGGTCGTGCGTCGATGAAGAGTGCAGCCAACTGTGTGAATTAATATGAACTGCATACTGTTTTGAACATCGACATCTTGAAAGTATCGTGCTCGTATTTATTTGTGGGTCCACAAAAAAAAAAAAATTTGTTGGTTTTTAAATTTGACTAATTGTTGATAATATTCTACATTGATTTGTTTGTTAGATATATCACACAGTGAAACATTATTATTTACTGGATGGGTCTAGTAAACAAATTAATATGGAGTTGCATACTACCACAGTGCCCAAGCTTTACACATATATTAGTGTGGATAGTGCCAGGGGTGATTTAATGTTCAAATGAACAAATGCAGGAAAAAGAAGCTAGAGGATAGATTACATAGTTTAACAACATGCTCAGTGGCTAAATATAAATATTTGGAAATAAACAAATTTATAGGGAAGATAAAGTCAGTCTCATAAATTACATAAGCTTACCTTTCAAGCCATGATAAATGATGGTCGGTAGTAGTGGTGGAGTTTATGTCTCATTGATATAATCACTCGAATTTCAGCTAAAAGGTCCTGGGCTTGAATCTTACTCCATCTGCTTCAGCCTGGGAAACTAGGTAGACTGGGTGATGTGACAGACAGCAACTAGGAAAAGAGCATAAAATGGACACACACAAAAAACCTGGAGGATCCGGATATCGCCAATGATATATTTCTGATTTATAACAAACTGGAAGATGCGCAAGAGAAAAGCAACAAGCTGGCAGAAGAAGCATCAAAGATAGGATAGACTTCAGGTGGTCGTAGAGAAAACAGGGGTGATGAAAGTTCATGGTCAACAGCAACAACAACAGCAGACAACCATCAGTATAAATGGGAGGAGTCTGAAACAGGCAACCTCCTTTACCTAACTACCTGGGAAGCATCGTTTCAACTACAGGCGAATGGAACTGATGAGAATATCAAAGCGAGAATCAGAAAAGCAAGACAAGTTACCTTCTGCATGGAAAAACATTAAAATTATCCCTATACCAAAACAATCTTCTGGTACCGATATTAAATTTAGGCCTATTGCAATTACTTCTCCTTTTTTAAAACTGATGGAAAAACTACTTTTACTTCGTCTTGAACCTTCATTGAAAGCTTTTAATGATCCTAAACAATTTGCATATAAACATGGTAGAAGTACCTTGGATGTTGCGGTTGTCTTATATCATAATGTTGTTTCTTCTTTAGACAAAGGTGCCAAATATGTTCGTGGTGCTTTCCTAGACTACACATCTGCGTTTGACTCTGTACCTAGGGGCCTTTTATTAAATAAGCTCTCCTTGACGCACACAGCATCCTGGGCTAAGAGTTGGTTGCATTCTTATTTTTCTGATAGAATGCAGTATACTGCATATAATGGCAAATCTTCTGCTTTGCTTACAAAAGCCGGTGTTCCTCAAGGTCCCGTCCTCTCTCCTTTTCTTTTTTCTTTCTTCCTACACGACCTGCCACATTTAAACGAAACTAATTTTGTCAAATATGCTGATGATCTGACTTCCGAGTCTGACTGCTCCAAACTTAATAGCTTTCCGTTGGACATCAGCAAGTGGTCTAAGTCAAATGGTCTTATGTTAAATCCTTCCAAATGTCAGGCAGTTAACTTTACTTTCAAGCATCGACGTGACATACATGAACTAGTTACTTCCCATGATGCCTGTAGCATAGGTGGCACAGAAATTGAAACCAAGTCAAGCATTAAATACCTTGGATTAGTTCTTTCCTCTGACCTTTCATGGTCATCCAACATCTTATTGATCTCTAAGAAAATGTTTCGTCTTACCTTCTACATTAAAAAGTTAAGACAATCAGGTATCAACCAACCTTTAGTTCTGCAATTTTTAAACTCCTGTATTTTACCTATTGTACTCTATTGTTCTCCATTAATCTTTCCTGGGCTTCTTAAAAAAGACTATGTCATATTACGAAGGGTATTAAATGCTGTGAGTAGGGCTTGTGGTTTGCCACTGCGTGAGCTCGCCAATACTATAGTCGAGAGACACGTAAATTCCTGTACAAAGTGGGCAAAGGCCGTACTGTCAGACCCTCTGCATCCTCTTTATTCACAACTATCCCCTTGTATCTCATCCGGTAGAACGAGAAGTCAATATAAGAAATTATTTGCTCGTACCACTAAGTACAAAAATTCTACAATACCGTATTTAGCCCTATTTTATGTGATGAAGACTCTGTTAGACGTGAAACATATAAGTTACTATGTAGTTAGCATAGTGAATCGACCCTTTCATTGTTCATCTTTCTGTAATTTTATGGTGTCACCCTTTCTATCGTTTAATTATAACTTTGCTATTTTTATTTTAGTTGTTATTACTATTATTACTATAAATTTATACTTTATGCGTATTTTTCTCCGTACTGCTTACAGTAATTTGCTAAATAGCTGCTATAAAAACGTTTTGTTATCATTATCATGTAATGATTATTTCGTTTATTTATTTTTTGTTGTTGTCGTTTTTGAGTAAATTAGATGCAATATTGTACTGAATGCTGAAAATTCCTTGCTGTATTATTAGTACTGTTTTTGGAATAAAGCAAAAAAATTAAAGCTCTCATTACTCTCAAGTCTGTGCGGAGGTCAACAGCACTCAGCATGAAAATGAAAATAAGATCCGGATTTTCAACTCCAATGTGAAGTCAGTTCTACTATGTGGATCACAGACTTGGCACCGCGCCGCGTCACGAAGGCCACTTCGAACAAACCACAGACATTCATCACTAGCTGTCTTCGCTCAATACTCAAGATCAGATGACCGGCCAGGAAAGATCAGCAACAGGGATCTCTGGCAACGAGCGAGCCAACCCAGCAGGAACCAATTTTGCAACAAATATGCAGGAAGAAATGGAGGTGGATTGGTCATACTCTGAGAGAACCATCAAATGACATCATACGCCAGGCTATCACTCAAGTGGAAGGCGAATGGGAAGCGGCGAGTTGGTCATCAGTGCGAGGGTGACATGGATGAGGTCACGCGAATAGGAGTTGAAAGCATGGAGGCAGACGTGAAAACGTTGGCGGTGGACCGAACGCAATGGAGACGTGCGGTTGAAGCCCTATGTTCCTCTAGGAAATAAAGGAGACAATAATAACAATAATTATTATTAGGTGTTTGTATGTGTGTGGCTTAGAGCCCGATACTGAGTTAAAAGAACAACAGTTTGTAATGTATTAAGCTTAAGAGTACATCTAGTCTTCCATACCCACATTTTCTTAGATAGATTAAACTCGTATAGGTCGTCTCTGTCTTTTTCTTAGACATGGTGGTGATCTAAATCTCCATGTAGTGTCTATCTTTGCCGATCATAATACTACTGAAAACATTCGTATCGCCCCCATAAACGACCTTGGGCGTGTAGACTTCGGTCTTCCTCTCGGAATGCTGTCATGTGACCACGCGTTCATAGCCTTCACTATGTAAGTCCTATTCACTGCCTTCACGTGGCGGGAGTGTCTCTCAAAAAAGTCAAAGGGCGAATCCGAACGTCTGGCACCTACAGCCCTAGTGGATGACATGCAGGTCTAACTAGGAGAGTTGAAAATCCCTGATTCTAAACCTATAGTGTACATGAGCTACAGAATCCAAACGGATAGAATGGTGCATGAATCTGTTTTGTTCATCGGAAACTATGGGAACCTCGCTCCTTACTCTGCTGCACTTCCTTGTGGATTAGACTTTAAGTCAAATACTCGGCGGTGTCCTCTTATGACAACCATCTGCTTCGGTCTGGGCGTTCCGGCAGTATTCCACCCCTCGTAAAAACTATGAGATTTCGTGTATCACATCTCTTCGTACCCATAATGTGGCAAGTTTATGTTTTGGTCAATAATGTAGAGCTCACATCGCCTTATTCACGTTCCAAATACAGTTTCTTTTGTTTTTATCATTTACAGGGAGCAAATAAAGCAAGTGCATTTTTCTACCTAAAACTGAAAGGTGAAATAGAATCAGATTTAATATCACTTAATTTATTTTCCAAGTGTCTTGCAATCTATCGTCCGGGTACTTTGTTATGCTCTCGTGTTGAATCTCGTCCAGCTGAAAGAGTTTTCCAGTTATTAGTAAAACCTGTCGCATATATGGCACCTACATTACTGACAACCCCAGTTGATATTCTTGCACAAGCTATGGCTCGGGCACCATTTTCTGCAAAGCTGAGCAGTGATAGCACTACGCAAACAGAAAAGTCGTTACCGAAAAATATTCATATTTTAGAGAATCATGACATTTTTAGTCTTGCTACAGATGATGGGTCAGCATAGTTTATTATATTTTAAATTATTGTACAATGTGATTTTACTAAACTTGCTAATATCAGCATTCTTGTGTAATCTACATATACTATTCAGCTATTCTCATTTTTCTGATTTTCTTTCACTATGTTTCGTTGTGTTGCTTTTCATATCTTTGTTTAATTAGGACTGATGAGTTAGTATAAACTATATTATTTTGGACAGTTATATGTATATATGCAACATTCATTCTGCATTCCCTGAGTTCTGAGTGGAACACAGGGCTTCAGGCTTGGGATTGTGATGTTGTGTTTTACGGACATGGGTTGTTAGCCTCACGTCCGACCTTCCCTTTTTTTTCGAACCTGGGACCACTTACGTGGGCCATGATCATTCTGCCAATGAACCAATGACGCATTAGTCTTTCTATATGTCCTCTCTTTTGTTTAATTTTCCTTTTCTTTATTAGCACATCATCTTATCTGTGATTAGTTTTGATATTTTATGACTTTATGAAGTTATAACCTAAACTATTACAATTGTGTACAATGTTATGCCTTGTTTTTGTACAGTTACATTTGTTTGACTGTTTATCCGCGAGACTAGCATAATAACTGTCGTTTGTTTACTCGCTCGAAAGTCCTTTATTTTTATCGCAAGCCATTGTGGTGTGCCTATTTTCCTGTTATCATGTATTTTCAGCAACGTAATCAATTCTACTGTGTAAACTTTATCGTTCAAATTAGCTATGGGTACTTTTATTCATTTCGAAACGAAACATCGCATGGTGTTTACGCGCATAGTACAGCAGACGTCACAGCAGATATTCCAACTGTGTAAAAAAGTTGATAAAATGCCTTTAAAACAACCTCTAAGCACAGTACAATGACCATCTATCTGAGGAAATTCAAACCGTAACTATCCACTTCCGTTCTACCTATTCATGTATATTAAGGCGAAGACGCTGTAAATTTGTTTTGAAATAACTTATATCCTAGCTTCATGTTAGCGAGTTATCACATTCTCCACGTGTATGACTAGATCTATAATTGGGTTGGTTTAGACATGGCTTTCAATCCATGGGTTCTGCAACTTAACTCCGCTTCCTTGAAATTTAAATAGTCAAGTAGTATTGTGATGTGTGCTGCGGGTAAGATTTATAAGTAGTATATCGATGCAGGTCGATATGAAGTGGCCAAAATTGAAATCATCTTTTAAGTCAATGGCTGCAGAGGTAGTAGTGTTTATACCTCCAATCTGGGTCTAGTTTACGTTGTGGACATGGAGTAATCTCATTGGACAACTTTTCGTCTCATTGTTTAACCTTGGGATAATTGTCAATCAATCAGAAAAAGAGCGTATTGTCCGCAGATTTAGTCGACTTTTAATATGGTTAAAAATGTATATATATGACGGCTACAGTATAATTAATCTTTGTGCAATAAGTGGGTCTCAAAGACAAGCATATTATTCCAGAGTAACATTTCACTTTTATTCCTAATGTATAAAATGAACCAGCAAAGTAGTTCTTAAGAACAGTAGGAAGAGCAGCTGTGTACCACTCACATCAACCAGTAGTGTTTGCTAACCAGTCAGCCAGGTCGAAGTGATCTAAACCCTGTTTCGCTCGTTGGCGTTCGAGCTCATTGACGATGTACCTGGTCTGACTCAGGTCAGACAATATGTGGCCTGAATAATTCCCCTTTCCAAAAGAAACTGGTGAAATTTCACCTTTTATTGTGTAAACTGCAAATTGCGAATTCAATTTGAAGTAGATAGGCTTTTAGCTCAGTTGTTTCTGAAATTTTTGAATGAAGACACAACAGTTAATGAGTGATGAGTGACGTTTAATTCGTTTTCTCATGTTGTCATTGAACATTGTTCACATCTATTTTTGGTCTGATTAATGAGGGTTACTATTAATCTCAAGGTCGATCACGAACGGAATTAAATTGAAGAACCATTGAAAACCAGAAGAGAGTATTAGATAACGGTTTCCTCCTTGTTTGGGACTCTTCATCAGTATGCATCCATCACCTAAATGGGGGTCGAATCCAGGACCTTCAGTTTACGAGGTGAGCTTGTATATCATTCGGTCACTGAGACAGAATTCACTGGTCCATCATTTGTAAATTCTGCTTATTCTAGATACTAGTCAACATTTGAAGGTTCTACCTAACTGTACTATTCAGTAGTATGATAAGTTACATAAAAATGTTGAGTAATATAGAAATTAACCAGCAGTTTCTTTTAGCTAATTAATGGTGAGTGATTTTTATTTATATTTCTCGTCTCATCACTGAACAATAAATAACCTGACAAGGTTGACTATACTCTTAGATCCTGTACATTTCCCCTGACTATGTACCTTGGTCGTGTACCATGTGTTTATCTTTTCTCTGTAATCCACTAAATAAGCGTGTTGTGTAGTTAATTTACTGTAGTCAGGGACAGATAAGGAACTGTATCCATCAGCGACTGTTCACTTGTAAAGTTCACAAAAAGCTGACCGCATTGCCTAGAAGAAATGACAACTCCAAAAATACTACAGACTTTCATCTTTGATGTATATATTAGTTTTTATAATAGTTTTACGCGTTGTCTTTTAGAAGTCTGCTGGTACTGTGGTGAGTGCTACTTATAATCCGATATAAGTAGTATATCAGAAACGAATTCAGAAAAGTAACAATGTTTGGCACACTGGAAAGAGCAATCAAAGAAGAGAACCATTAGAAGAATGTTGCCATATGATGCAGAATCCAAGAGGCTATCGAATGTGATGATATTCGACCAATTCGTCAAGGATGTGGTGAATGATGTGCAAATGGCAGGTTGAGAATATGGTATACCAAATTTAGCTATGTAGCATACGTTTCAACAAATAAATATTCCTTTCAGCCTCCTCGGTCTTTTCTTCATTACAGCACTACTGTTTGTTTTTTATCGTATGTCTGATGGAATTCCTATGCTTGTGTCATATTGTGTCTCGTTTCAGCTACGGGGTTATGCTTTCTTTCTTTCTGTATTACTCTTTAGGTATTACTTCAATTTTTTCACGGTACTTTATTCAAATATTTTGATGACTCACAAAATACAGCCATTTATTCATAAGGAGGAAAAACACAGTAGTAAAGAAATTTCTTTTCAACGACTTCATTTTCATGCAGTTGTACAGTCCTATTTGTTTTACGGCAAAAAGGTATTAAGTGGCACAAAAAGTAGTGCTCAGTCAATATGATAGGGTCCCAGTGGCTTAATGGTCTATGAGCTCGCCTTGTAACCAGAATGGCCTGGGTTTGAACCCCAGCGGTGGGTGCATACTGATGAAGAGTCCCAAAACAGGACGAAACAACTGTCCAGCAGAACTCCCAGGTTTTCCACCGGTTCTCTAACTTATGTCAGCTCATGATAAAATCCTCGAACTAATCAAACAAAATCCCTTCAAGCCAATAGTTGAAAATTGACAAAATGTTTAAAGAGTTGATGAATTAACAAAATTTTTTAAAGATCATAAAATAAGTGAATTGGTGTTTTAAGTTATAAAGTAGGTCAAACGATATCAAAAATTAAGAGCGAGATGATGATTCTGATGATGGTGATAACAATGAAGAAGGCGAAGATAAAGTGAAGTGAAATCAATTCAAGAGTTTAAATTAAAAAAAGCTGCATTACCATTGTGGCGAGTGGTACTGACAAGATTTATCAGTAGTATATAGAGAGATGTTCGTTGGCATAAAAACATGAAATAGTATGGAGATACATTTGATTTCGGAGAAGGCAAGTGATACAGCGTTGTGGAGGTACATTAGAGACGTGAAAAGAACACAAAGAAACACAATATGTAGTCTAGAAGTAACACAACATGAAGGTCTGTGCAAATGATGCGTTAAGGGTAAGGTATACATAATTTAGCTATATCGAGATACCACTTCAACAAATCTTCGCCTTCTAAGGTTACACCATAACCACTGTAGAGAAAGGAGTTCGATAAAAATTTTTTGAATACATCGTTTAGCTTTTTCGCTTGCGAAATCTCAGCACGGACACAGAAGGCTTGTTTAGCATATGCCAACTTACGCCATCTCTGGCTTAGTAGACGTGATATCCGACTGTCCACTAATGGACGTGTTTACTGCTTAACAATTCGCTCCTTCCTCCTTAACGGCTGTGAGATATGATCATTGGAAGTGGAAGACATGAAAAGGCTAGCTGTTTTTGATCATATGTGCCTGCATTCTATCTCCCGTGTGAAATGGCATAATAGGGTGAGCAATATTGAGGTTAGTCGTCGAGTGCTAGGTAAAGAGGGGAAATCAATAGACGAGGTTGTGAAGTTACATCGATTGAGATGGTTAGGACATGTGTTACGCATGCCTAGCCATCGCCTTCCTCGACGGGCAATGTTAGCTGATATAGGATGGATCAGGTTGGAAAAGAGTTAGCTAGTGGTGTTCAAATGAAAACATGGCCTCGTCAGTCAATGGAACCCACAACAGTTAGTTTGAGCCACGTAGGGAGATGTAGACTTGTTGGTTGAGGCCTTCGGGATGGTAAAAACCAGTGGGTGGAGACAATTGGTGATATAGCTCAAAATCGTTCTCAGTGGCGCGGATGCATCCACTCTTTGTGATTTATCATACCCAATAAAAATGTTGTTCTTCCATATTACTGTTCGTTTCGCCTCACACCTCTGTGTACTATCTCTCTTTTGAACCTCTCTTTACTTTCTTTTCTTGGTTTGTGTGCCACATGGAGTGTGGCAAGTTGAACTGCTGCACATCTGTGCGAAGTTCTGTGTTGAAACCAGTCAGTCAGTTAGCTTTTTGTCCATGTATAGTAGGTAGAGTTCTGCCTATACATAAGTGGAGAAAACGTAAACATTTAGAGTAACTAGATTTGGCCCTTTAGATAATGGGAATGAATGACCTGACTGAAGAAACTGTTCACAAATGGATGACTTTACCCGGTTTGCTTGATAAAAGGGAATAATAGGATGTTAATGTTCAGCTACGCGTTTCCGAAGAACATGCTTATAATGTTCAATATAATCAGCTCCACAGGAACATGTGAAAGAGTAAATGTATATGGATGTAGAAATAAGCGCCAGTTTGTCCTTGACGCATTGTCAAATCATAGTTTGGCTGCAAAATACTATGTGTAAGTCAGTGGCATACAGAGAGCGCTTAATACACTTAGACGACTTTCAATCACATTAGCATGTTCATATTATATATTTAGGTTGGTGATGCTTTAAGAGATACAGTTTGCGTAAGAGGTATCGTGTACAAGTTCGTTTGACGGACTGGATTTATACCTATGATATGAGAGTTAATACCATTGCTTAACCAGAATTCAGTAGATTGCATGGAGTGTTTTATGGATACTGACTAAAGTATAAGAAGTGGTTGGGAAATTGAATTTCGGGTTGTTTTAATTTTTAGATGAACTAATTAACTGGAAAGTTTCTGTTAATTCTTTCCCTTTATGGTCAGTATGCTTTGCTCTTTTTTCTCTCGATACCACCGTAATCTTTATTTGCATTTATTTTTGTATATTCGTTTCCATAGTTATGAATGAGCTAAATTAACCCTATATTTTAGGATTTTAATCATTACTATGACTTATAATTGTTACTTTCATTGGGTAGTTGGCATCCAATGGTCGTTCCGTGATAAACATTTAATTAACGACTGTTAGACATGGCGATGGAAGA